CCCAGCGGGTCGCTTGCTGTAGGGTGGGGGGGGTTCGTGCGGGAGCTGACTCCGGGGGGAGCGCAGCGCGACGGTCGTGCCGGATGCGATGCTCAAAGGCTCTGTCTCCTACCAGCTGCATGAGAAATTTGAGCACTTAAAAAGGATACACCAGGAAGAGAAAAGGAAGGTGGAGGAGAAGAGGAGGGAGCTGGAGGAAGAGATGAATGCCTTCAACAGGCGGAAAGTAGCGGTGGAGACCTTGCAGTCCCAATCCTTGCAGGCTACCTCACAGCAGCCGCTGAAGAAGGATAAGGACAAGAAAAAGTAAGTGACTGAACTCGAGTCTTTCTCCTCTGCCGCTGGGAAGCTGGGTGTCTGCTCAGATGCTTTAATGTTTGGTCCATTGTTTAGACAGAAAATGGAAAAGGGGATTTTGGAATCCTAATTCCTACCCTTCTGACTCTTTGCTTAAAGTGGGGGAGAGACGGGGCCCTCCTGTGCCCGGGCACTGCCCTGGGGAAGCCCTGGTGGCTGCAGGTGGGAGAGACTTGCAATTTGGGGCCATTCTCTAAAAGCTGAGAGTCCCGGGGGGTTTGCCCTTGCCTCCGTGACAGCCAGCTGAAGCGATCCTGCGAGCTGTCTGCTCCTGGAGGCAGAGGTGACTAGAAATAAGCTGCATCTTCTCCCCAGCAGAGGGGAGTGGGGACGATCTTGACACAGTTGTAATGTCTTACAGATGCGGTCCCGTGTCATGCACTACCTCACTGTGATCTCTGTAGGCTTGGGGCCCTCTCTAGAGAGTGCTCGCACTTTATTTTTTAGAGGCAGAGCTGTAAAGAAGGAAACAGCAGCTTAGAGTGAAGATGTGTTGGAAATTCATTAAGGGCTCCGTGTGAAGTAGGGCTCCAAGACACAGTTCTCTTACGAGGAAGCTCATTTCCCCTAAAGGCAGAATTCTTATCTTAGCTTGCTGCAAGTTAATTGACATTGCTGAAGCCAGCAAGAGTGTGGAGCGAGGGCATGTAAATAATGCTCTTTCAGCTGGTTGTGTAGCGGTCGAGCAGGAGTGGGGCAAACAGGTTTAAAAAGAAAAGGGGGTGAGGGTGATCCTGCTTCTATTCAAGCCAGTCTTCAAGGAACACTGGTGGGGGAGCACAACGAGAAGCACCACCATGCAAGCTGGTAATTCTCTTATTCCAGCATTTTTTGTTACTTCCCCTTGCGTGAAGGAGCTTAAGAGTCTGAACTGTGTTCTGTCAAATCCAGAACAGGCTGGTGGCAATGCTTTCTGAACCTTTTAATGATGAAAAGAAAAAAAAGACCATCAAGAGTAGCGGCAGCCGAGTTCGCTCTTGGCAGCGCAATGTTCGCCTTCACGTTGCTGATGAGATCTCGTGCTCTGTCATTTCTCTGCTCTGAACAGCAGCACGAGAGAAGCTCAGTCTGCGTACTGACGTGCTAGTCATTTGTTTCTTCCTGTGGAAGATAACAGCGTGTGTTATTTAACGTATTTCCTTGGAATGTAAACGTGTTGGTGTTAAAACCAAAGCACTCTTCTGCAGACCTCTCGGCATGCTCTGGGGCATGTCCCACCTTGCGCACGGAGTCCAAAATGCTTAGTAAAACATTTTGCTGAAAATGGAGTTTAATCCAGCTACACCTGCACATGAATTAGGGGCTGAATACCGAGGCAGCCTGGGGCCCAGGTCCATTTTGAAGAAGGCGAGCACGCCGAGGCGCACGCTGGTAACTTGCGCAAGCGATGCCGGTCGCTGGGCTGCTCCGGCGGTGATGTACTGCGTGTGAGCTGGCCAGGTGGAAATGCCGCAGCGTCCCCTCTGCTCCGTCTGTCTGCAGTAGAATAAGCTTTCCTGCGCTTTGCTGGCTTTAGCCCACCTGCAGGTGCGCGTCCGGATGCCCTTCCTCTTCTGGGTGGCGATTAGAGACCGGCTGCGGTCAGAAGGCGGCAGCTCAGGCGGCGTACGAAGGACCGAGGGGCACCCACAGCGCGTGCTCTGTGCCGTGGGGACGCCCGCGCGGGCCCGCGCGGTGCTGGGGCAGGGGGGATCTCTTCAGCTCCGGAGCGCGGCTAGAGGAGGTGCACCGTCACTGGGAATAAAATGAATAAATTAGGGAGAGGAAAGGAATTGGTTTTGGATTGGCTTTTGGTTTTCTTTTTTTCTTTTGCAAACCTGTGAGCTAGTTCAAAATGTGGTGTTTGGGGGTTTCCACTCAAGCGGGACAATGAAATTTGTAATAAAAAATTCAAAGGAAGGTGCCTCCCCTTGGCCTTGCCAGCGGCCTGTCTTCCCAGACCCTCTCTTCATCTGGGAGGCCTCAAAAGGAGCCGGGGGTCTTGTGAAACCTGTGTGTCAGAGCACAGCCCTAAGG